CGAATATGGTATTACTTAGGACACACGAAGACTCATGTACCATTAAAGAACTTTATATACTTAAATTTTAGGATTTTAAATTAAAAAATATTTTGCTGTCTTTATGTGTATGAGTGTACTGCCTGTATATGTGTAAGTACACCATGTATATAAGTGTTGCTGCAATACCCACAGAGGTCAGAAAATGACAGATCCCTTGGAACTGGAGTTATGGATAGTTGTGAGTCACCACGTGGATGCTAGGAACTGACCTGGGTCCTCTGCAAGAGCAGCCAGTGCTCTTAACGGCTGAGCCATCTCTCCAGTCCCAAGATTTTAAACTTAAGATTGTGAAAATGAAATCTAAGGTAGGCAGACCAAGCTGTTCCATAAAGGCATGACCAACATATATTAGCAGGAAAATCAACACATAAATACCTATTATTTATATTACAAAATGTTTAAGCCACAGTCTTCAGTTAAACACTCATATTTTACTATATTTAAGAGTATTTCTCCAAATTATGATTTTTAACTTCTGTAAATAAAGACAATGATTTGTGAATATTTCAGTAAGAACTTTGTTTCAGTTTCCTTTAAGAGTCAAGTAGGAAGAACACAGCAAATACACTAGGTTTTTTTTCTTTTAAGGACTTCTAGGGAAGATCTGAGAAGTATTTTAGCCAGAGCTGACAGAAGACCAAGTGTCTAGAGCTGTAGGCCAAGTAACGCAACTGGGGAAGAGCCAGGTGGGAAGGAGGAGAGTAAAGGTTTATAAGATAAGGAAACCTTCTTTATTAAGGCGAAATCTGACAGCAGTGTGTGTTTAGTTTTGGGTAGTGACACTATCTACTGCATTTAAGATGGGTGTTCCGTTCTTGCTTACAAAGGCCATTTACTGAACTATGTATTCCTAGTCCATTACAGAATTTTGTGGGACATCATATTTCATGTTAACATTATCTTTATACTGCTAGATAAGGGTCTCTTTCCTCAGCTTGCTTTCACAAAAAAGACACAATTTCACATTCCATTAAAAATACTCAGGGTATTTTAAAAGCCTGTAATTATGCTATTGCTAAAGGGGAAAAAAAGGCTTTTGGGCAACATTTTGAAAACAAGCCAAAACAGTACCACACAGGAAGGACATTTTTATTACCCCAGTATCTAAAATAGTCCCAAAGAGTCTAAAATATAGTCTAATATCCCAAATAGTCTAAAAATTTAAAAATCCTTAACAACCGGAAAGTGATGTCTGCCATCCTTAGTAGGCAATGGGAACATACACAATTCTCTGTGTTCACTGAGATTATCCTTTTGTAGTAGCTCCTGGTTTTGACAAAAGGACTGATAAGACAAAAGAAACAACTCAAACTGTAACAAATGTATACAGATTGAAGAGTAAATGTGAATTTCTTCCATTCACAGGCCCTCCAAATCTAGTTTTTCCACATAGCTTAAAGGTGATCCGCTTCCTGCCTAAGAACTGCTTTCTAGTTTCCCTCTGTATTTCCAATAAAACCAAACCTCCCTACAGGTTCATTTAAAAAACAATTTTTTGGATTTATTTTTTATTTTATGTATATGAGTGCTTTGCCTGAATGTATGTAAGTGCACCCATGTCATGTTATGTCCACAGAAGCCAGAAGAGGGTGGGTAGAGGCCCTGTTACTAGTGTTACAGATGGTTGTTAGCTGCCATGTGGGTGCTGGGAAATAAACCCAGGTCCTCTGCAAGAGCAGCCAGGGCTCTTAATAGCGGAGTCAGCTTTCCAGCCCCTCTCTACAGTTTTGTTTCATTTATTTCCCCTTTAAGTGTATGTCTGTGTGTATGGGGGGGGGCGCGGGGTGTTAAGATAGGGTCTCATTATGTAACTCAGCTGGCCTGGAATATGTAGACCATCCCAGGCCATCTCACAGAGAGCCACCTGTCTCTGCCACCCAAGTGCTAGGATTAAAAGTGTGTGTCACTTCCCCTGGCTCTCTACAGGCTCTTAAAGGTTCTGCACATGCCTTTAATCCCAACACTCAGGAAGCAGAGACAGGTGGATCTCACAGAGATTGAAGCCAGCCTGATCTACAGAGCCAATTCCAGGCCAGCTGGGGCTACAGGGAAGCCCTTTAAAAACAAACAAACAAAAAACCCTGAAAAAAATAAAGTTCCTACATGAATTGGTCTTATCTTACTCCCCCCGGCCCCCAATATTTTCATTTCACTGTTGTAGTTGCACTTACCCTCTTTCATACAAAGAAAGCGCGCGAAGTGGATTCAACATGAAGGCTTCACACATGCTTTCACAGACAAAAATTGTCATTCCTGCCACACATTTATTTACCTGTTGGCTTGTTTTTCTTATTTCTTTATTTTTCCTGAGACATGGTCTCCCTGCAACCCCAGGGGGTATGGAACTTGCTTTCTAGTCCAGGTTGGCCTCAATCTCACAGAGATTGGCTGATACTTTAATCTTTGTATCAATAAAAATATATATTCCAAGATATTTGAGATGATGTAACAACTATGAAATGTGTGCTAATGGGCAGCATTTATCTTTCTGAAGAATTCATTTTTAAATGATTGGGGGCATTGTAAAAAATAAGTTATGTGTTCCTGCAGCCCTAGGGTATAGCATATGTCCTTTAGTTGATGCCCTAAATATTACAACTGCAACCATTTTACCTTTATAAATGTCCTTCCTGGCCCTTATTCAGGGTGATCAACTGAACCTGCCAAAGACCTTAACTGGAGAAGCCTGTTCTAACTGAAAACACTCAGATTCAAGCATCCAAGTTCTCTCAACAGCAGAAGAAAGCAGCCTATGTTCTGCTAACCATCTCCATACTTTTTTCTTTTTTGCCTTTTTGAGACAGGGTCTCCCTATAGCCCCAGCTGTCCTCGAACTCACTATGTAGAACAGGCTCGCTTCAAACTCACAAAGATCTGCCTGCCTCTGCCTCCCAAGTGCTGGGATTAAAGGTGTATGCCACCATGCCTGGCTCATCGCCACACTTGGAGGAGGCAAATGCCTGCATTAATCATGTCCATAAACCATTAAGCACTGACTTTCCTTTAAAAAATATTTTTATTTTCTGTTTATGAATGCTTGCTTACATGTATGTACACCACTTGTGTGCCTTGTGCCCACAGAACTCAGAAGAGGGTGTTGGATCTCCTGGAACTGGAGTTACAAACAGTTGTTAGCCACCATGTGGGTGCTGGGAACCAAGCCTGGGTTTTCTACAGGAGCAGCCAATGCTCTTCAACTGCCGAGCCATGTCTTTAGCTCTTGACTTTCTTCATAATCTCATTACTTTTCAAAGCATAAGTGGCAGATGCAAACTTCAAACACTGATCTAGCTCATTCCTTCACTACTGGTAGGAAGTCTAAAATGCAAATTACAAGTATAGATTGAATTAGAAGGTACAGTTAATTAAGAGTTATATTTTTCAGTTACTTCAGTTTATCACAAATTTCTATGGCAGCCTGACAATGAGCAAAATCCTTAAAATTAAACCATTAGAGAAACAATAGTTTTTTAAAAATATTTTATTTATGATTTTTTAAATTATCTTATGTGTATGAGTATATTGCCTGCATGTATATAAGTGCACCCATGTCATGCAATGCCTGCAGAGATCAAAAGAGGGTGTCGGATCGCCTGGAACTGGAGTTACAGATGGTTGTTAGCCATCATGTGCGTGCTGGGAATCGAACTTGGGTCCACTGCAAGAACAGCCAGTGCTCTTGACTCCTGAGCCATCTCTCCAGCCCCAAAACACAATAGTTTTTGTAAACAATAAAATGTTCAGTTGTAAGTGGATTTTGTTGTTAAACACTAATAATGTACAATGTTTTGCATATAAAGTTGCTGTTTTATAGCCATTGCTAGGCAGGGGTGGTCTCAGGATAGTGTTAAGCCTGTGATAAGGTTTTCACCATTCTTTGGCAAAATGAAAATAGTTACAAGCAAATTAGATGTACCAAATAAAATTTACATAGATATAATTTATTCATTTTTTGTTTAGAGGCAGTCTTACTACAGAGGCCAAGCTGGCTTCAAATTCAGGATCTTCCCACTTAAGCCTTCCCAGTGCTGGGATTACTGACATGGGTCGCTAAACCTAGCTAATTTTTTTCTTTTTAAAGCCAGACAAGTTTAGCAGTGGGGAGTTGTATAATGACATACACATTTTTAAAGGGATGCCTTCTATTTAGAGGCATCCTGCTTTTCTAATATCAAATAATCTTTTTAAGAAAAACAAAACATTTTGTTAAAAATAAAACTAATGCTAGGTGTTGGTTTTATTTCTTTGATGTGATTTTACTTGGCAAAAATCTCAATTAATAGCCTTCTCTCTGCTCTTTTGCAATTAAAAAATTCTTTTAAATTACATCTACATTTACTTATCCAGTACATGCATGAATGTGCATGGCGTGTGGGTGCGCATGTGCCTCAGTGCCCATGTGGCGATTAAGACAACTTACAGGAATCATTTTCTTCTTTTACCATGTGGGCTCCCGAGATCAGGTGATCAGGCCTGACAGCAACTGTCTTTACCTGCTGACCCATCCTGATGCCCTTTTCTGCAATTTAGTCTAACATTATCAGGTGGCTTAACTATGGGCCTGGCCTTTGGAACTAGAAATACATGCATTTAAATCATATCTTAGTGACCTTTTATGTATGGCTTTAGACAAACTGCTTCTCTGAGCTTTAATTTTCTCATCTGTAAACTAGAGAGCTACTAGGAAGATTAAATTGCATTTAAAATTTGCATAGTCTAACTACATGCTGAAAAATATTTTTCAGTTGGCAGTCATGTATTTGATGAACTCTTTTAAACTTTAGAAATTAACTAAATTCTGATTGCCTTTTTATCAAGAGAAAGTTTTATCATGATCATATATATTCCCGAGAGCTATATTACCAATAACATCTTTAGAGATCCCCACTAATCAGTTTTAATACCTGTACATCTATTTATCTTCCTCTGCTGGTGTTATCTCTTCTGTTTGTAAACAAATTCAAGACTCTTAAAAAAATTATATATACATATATATTTAGAAAGAAAGAGACAGACAGACAGAAACTACCTCTAGTAACTGAGTGTCCTGCAGAAGGAAATCTCTTTACCTCTCAGGCCCAAAATGAATTGTGATCTAATACCTAATCTATCAACCTCTTTTTCTATTTAGGATCACTAATGTCTTCTAATGTCAAAGTACAATGAGTTTTGTCTTCAGCTTTAATGAACTAATTTTGTAGCATGTAACATGGTCCTTTCCTTCCTCATTAAAGCTAATCTTCAACCTCAGTTTCTCTGATAGCTCTTCAAAGTCTTCAAACTTTAAAAACAAATAAACAAAAAAACCAAACAACAACAAAAAAAAACAGGTTAATCTTTTGTCTTTTTAAAAGAAGGCTTATTTTTAATTATGTGTACTTGTGCGTGTGTGGAGTATGTGTCTATGTGTATGTGAGTGCAGGTGCTCTCATGGGCCAGAGGCATTGAACTCCCATGGAGCTGGAGTTACAGGTGGTTGTGAGCCAACCAATGTAAGTGCTAAGAACTGAAAGCAGGTCCTCTGAAAGAGACCCCCTGCAGAGGCTTACCCCCCCCTGAGCCATCTTTCCAGCCTTTATCTCACTCAAACTCAGGCTCAAAAAAAAAAAAAAAAAAGACTGTAGCCCTAACTAGCTTGCTACTATCTATCCTCCAACAATTCTCCTGCTTCAGCTTCCTGAGTGCATGAGCCACCATACTTGGCTAAATTCAGGGCTTTATCTGTCCCCTACACACTGAAGACACCTAATATAAATATAAATCTCTAAGGTTTTGGATCTCTCCCTTAAACTCTACACCCTGAGTATTTCCTCCCTCTGTGTACTTTCTCACCACATTAAATCAAAGCCCTTTCCCCCCCTCAACTCCCTCACCAATCCTCTCAGGCACATCTTACTTTACCCACTGTATTTTTTTAACTGTTACAAAAACTCTGAGAATTTCATACATGCATATAAGGTGTTTTGATTAAATCCATGCCCACTCCCTCCCTTCCAACACCTCCCGTATCTCTCCATCATTTTTTTCTTTTTCTTTTTTCTTCTTTCATTTATTTTTAATGGGGCTTTGGGCTACTCTAACATTCCCCCCTCTGAAGAGGTAACCCTAAAATCTTTTAAGGATTAGATATAAGCTCCCAAATACTTCTGACATTTTTGACCTTTGAAGCAGAGTAGGTTGCTAACAGGCCCAAGGACACTTGGACTAGCCAAGACTGGGTGTTATAAAATCACTATTATCTACCCCACGCCTGCTCTAATCCACACTTTGCACTGCTCTTTAAAATCTTTTAATAGTCCTGTTGTATATGCCTAAATTCTTTAGCATGCCATACAGGATTCCCCTGCATTCTGGTCTCTACATTTTAAATATTTATTTATTTATTTATTTACTTTTTATTTATTATTATTTGTGTTTTGCATGCATGTATGTAAGTACACCTGTGCCATGCAGAACCTGAGGAGGCCAGAAGAGGGGGATTGGATCCCTTGAAATGGAGTTATAAATGGTTGTTAGCCACCATGCAGGTACTGAGAACTGAACCCAGGTCCTCTCCAAGAGCATCCAGTGCTCTTAACTGCTAAGTCACCTCTCCAGCTCCCATTAGTCTTATTTCAAAACATTTCTTTATTCATGTATACTACTGATCCTAGATAACAGATACTTTTTTTTTTTTTTTTGCTTCCCTGCCTTTGCACATTCTGTCACTCCCCCTCCAAATAAGTCAAAATCTTTTTACTTTTCTCTTTCTCAAAGCCATTTAAGTTTCCTTCTCAAGGAAAGATAAAAATCTCCCTTGAACCATGCCCATGCTGACTGATTTAAATAATCTTTTTCAGTCAAACTTTCATTTTGACTTGTGTGTGTTTGTCTGTGTGTGTGTCCCCATGTTATGAAACAAAACAGTTCATGAATTCTAAGACAAAAAAGTAAAAAACTATTACTCTGGGGTTTGTGTCAGAATGCCTTTTAAGTATAAGAAGTCCTCAGAGTACCTTCTTGCTCTAGATATTTAATTAATAAATTAGTCACAAAAGCTCTGAGCAAAATGTAAGCTGTAAGGTGGGTGAACAAAATGTAACCAGCTATTTGGGTGTCTGACATAGGAAGACTTAAGGTCAGCATGGGCTAACCAGCCAGCAGTCTTTAAAAAAAAAAAAAAAAGTAATCAGTTGAAAGTTGGCCAAAACAAAATACCAAATTACATTATTTTCTTTGCTAATAACTGATATGGAGAGAATAATTTTACTTTGAGGGTAGGATGATGGGGGGTGATTATCAGTACTGTGTAAGATAGTAATCGGAAACAAAATAACTAGGTCACAATCACCTGTGGCCACAATTTTTTTTGAAGTTATTACATGAACTACATCAAATTATTTTAATTTTCAAAGTACTCTTAAGAACATTCTAACTTAGAATCCAAGCAAGTTTGTTGCAACTGATAGACTGCTAATGCCTTCCTTTTGTTCCCAGAGGTATGTGCTCCTGTTTTGTCCTGTAGGGATTAACCATACCAAATCAAAGTTGTTTCAACCTTTCATTCTTTTTTCTAATCTACACTAAGCATATACTTTACTCCCCTTGACCTCCAGTGCTGAGGACTGCATCTAAGACCTTGTCATGGCTAGTCAAGTCTCTTCCCACTGAACCATATTCCCCCATTCTGTACTTATTTTCTTACTATCATTTCTCAAGGCTATATCCTTAAAATAAATCTGAAATTCTAACAACACAACCATATCAAAATGTTTAGCTCCATCTAGTATTTTTAAGGGTAAAGGCCTGCAACTCTGTGAGTAATTCTATATCACTTCTCAGACACTGTAAGATGCTTCATGAAGGAAGAATGGAAACAAACTCCAAATTAGACCATTAGGGTATTTTTCCTAATGATTTTCCAAAGCCTAAATGTAACAATATATGTCCTACATTATTTGTGCTTTTAAGTGCATTTTAGCAATATCATGGAGGGTGGGGGAATCTAATCAATATATTCAAGTGTGATTCAAATTTACTTTTGATTCTGTGTCACTATGTGATTCAGCAGCCTTAGTTTTTCAACATGCAAGATGATGCACACCAGCTGCTTTCATCACAAAGACCATATGTGGTGATTAATGAGCTAATGCCTATAATACACTCTTGAAGCCCTAATATAAAGACATTGAATAAACACAAACCACTTTCCCGACAAATTTATAAGAGATGACTTTCAATGCAAAAAGCTTTAAAAGATGTCTATGACTGTATGTCAATAAAATATTACTGCACTGACTGGTTCTTCCCAACAATATTTCAGAATGGGTAATACAAGCTTTATCA